ATCTGGATTCTTTGCTCCGGGGCCGATATACGTGGCGTACGCTGACCGGTAGCAACATATACCAAGGAACGGCCCTCGCTGTACAAGTAGATGCACAGCATGTTGACGTACCGCTAAACACACCTATGCTTGCACTGGCAACTAGACTTGAGCAACGAATTCGCTGCACAGTCGTCAGCCTTTATATTCCAGTACAACCCTACCCAAATCTGGAACATGACTTCGATCATTTAATATCCCAGTTAGAACCACCTTTCCTGATTCTTGGCGACTTCAATGCACATCATGTAGCTTGGGGATCACCCCGTGATGACCCGAGAGGTACGGCTATCATTCGTATCTGCGCAAAATACGATCTCATAGTTCTGAACGATGGGAGCGACACCTACACCAGTGGACAGAGGAACACAGCTATAGATTTGTCACTATGTTCGAGTAGTATTATCGGTCAACTCCGTTGGCATGTTCATCGCGACCCAGCTGGTAGCGATCATTACCCTATCGATATTCTCGGAAATGACAGCCCTCCAAGGACAGGACGAAGGCGACGCTGGTTATTCGATCGTGCAAATTGGTCAGCTTTCGAGGCAGATATCGACAGCCGCATATTTATCGATCGTGAATACACAGCCGTGGAGTTGGGAAAGATCATTACCGCAACGGCCAAGGAACACATACCAAGAACCTCAAGCACACCAGGGCAGCTTGCTGTCTCGTGGTGGAACGATGAGGTTAAAAAAGCAATAAAATCACGGCGGAAGGCTTTACGAGCGTGGAAGCGTACAACACCAGATGACCCGAACCGCAAATCAAAAATGGAACAATGGCGAGCAGCAAGAAGAGAATGTAGATCAACAATACGAAACGTTAAGCAGACCTCGTGGCAACAATTCGTCGATGGCATTAGCCCACAGTCAACCACTCAAGAAGTCTGGCAGCGATTGAATGCACTAAGAGGAAAAAGACGCCTCTCCGGTTTTCAACTTACTATTGGATCAAATCAAACTGATGACCCTGAGCTTATTGCCAATGAACTTGGAAAATATTTCAGCTCTATTTCGTCGTCAGTCTTGTATTCAGAATCCTTTTTGGCCAAAAAAGCAAAAGTAGAACAACATCCAACAAACTTTTCGCTCACCTCACCGACCGCTAATGAACCATACAACACGACTTTCTCTATGTCAGAACTACTGTGGGCTCTAGACCACGCCAACGGAAAATCCTGTGGCCCAGACCTGGTGGCATACCCAATGCTAAAGAGACTTCCTGTTCATGTGAAACGAAAACTTCTTAACAGCTATAATCAGCTCTGGATCACCGGACTCTTCCCGGAAGAATGGAAACATAGTACCGTTATCCCAATTCCAAAAGCCGGAGCAAGATGGAAAGAATCACGTGATTTTCGACCAATCAGCTTAACTAGCTGCAACGGAAAAATTATGGAACGAATGGTGAATCGTCGTTTGATAACATACCTTGAAGAAAAAAACCTCCTGAATCCCGGTCAACATGCTTTTCGCCGCGGTCGTGGACCATCAACATACTTGGCGGACCTAGGAAGTGCACTCGACCAAGCTATGAGTGAAAACATGCACATCGACATAGCGACTCTCGATCTTTCAAAAGCTTACAATCGGGTGTGGCGTGAAGGCGTTCTCCGCCAGCTTAAGGAATGGGGATTGAATGGTAGCTTACCAAAGTTCATCCAATCCTTTTTGTCCGATCGTACTTTCCAAGTTGCTGTCTGAAATCAGTCGTCGTGCTCTCATATAGAGGAAAATGGAGTCCCTCAAGGATCGGTTTTGGCCGTATCACTGTTCTTGATCGCCATGGATCCCCTCTTCAAATGTCTTCCCAAAGATGTTCATATATTCGTGTATGCAGACGATATAGTCTCAGTCGTTGTAGGGACAAATGCTACCCGAGTCCGTATTAAACTGCAAGCAGCTATTAGAGCAGTTGCTAGATGGGCTAACTCTAGCGGATTCGAAATGGCAGCAGAGAAATGCTCAATCTCCCATATATGTAACCATAGACATATCCCTTGGTCACGTGAAGTCACGGTGAACAACGTGCGCATCCCGTACCGAAAAGTCGTTAAAATACTTGGCGTGTATCTCGATCGACATCTTTCGCTTAATCACCACTTTGAACAGCTAAGAGCTGATTTAAAAAAGAGAATTTGCTTACTGCAAACTATTGGTAGATGCCAGTCCACCAGTAATCGAAACACAATCATGAACGTGGGAAGCAGCTTAATTTTGGCAAAAATCTTCTATGGTGTAGAAATCACATGCCTAAATTCCACGCAATTGATTAAGTCGCTTGCACCATTTTACAACAAAATGGTTCGTGAAGCCTCTGGTCTTCTTCCATCATCACCATCAAAATCAGCGTGCGCTGAGGCAGGAGTCCTGCCTTTCGATTATCTGGTTGCACTCGTTATTAGTAAACGCTCAATATTCTACAATGAGCGAAATTCCAAACCTTCTAAAAACCTCTTAATTACGGTAGCTAAAAATCTGTACCACACTCTTACTGGAAATCAACTCGCAACAGCCTTACCATTGATGCGAGTAAGTGATCGCAGATGGAATGACCCCATCCCCCGAATTGATTGGCGACTTAAGCACATACTTTCAACGGCTGATCCCCCATCGAAAATACAAGCAGAATTTAATTCACTTGTTGCGAGAAACTATGGATCCCACATTAAAATATATACAGATGGCTCAAAAGCCGGAAACAGAGTGGGTTTTGGCCTACATGGTCCAGATATAAGTATATCACTCCGACTACCCAACCGATGTTCTATTTTCTCTGCAGAAACAGCCGCATTGAAGATAGCCCTAGAATCAGTATCCCCGTTGAATACCGCCGCAGTGATTTTCACCGATTCCGCTAGTGCTCTGAAATCTATTGAAAGTGGAAAATCGCGGCACCCTTGGATACAGTCTATAGATATGCATAACAACCCCAACGTAACATTCTGCTGGATTCCTGGACACAAGGGAATCACCGGCAACGAAGAAGCCGATAGACTTGCAGCTTACGGTAGAACCAGTCAGCGACAAAGGACTAAAGTTCCCGGCGGCGATATTCGAAAACACATAGTGTCATCTATAAAATATGCCTGGAACATTACGTGGTCAAACGAAACCGAACTATTTTTGAGAAAAGTGAAAGGAAACATAGAGAAATGGAACGACAGGGAAAAGCGGAAAAATCAAAGGATCTTATCCCGATTGAGAGTCGGACATACCAAACTCACGCACACTCATTACATAGGAAGTACCCGCAACCCCCCCCCCAATGCGAAGTATGTCAGTGTCGCCTAACTGTGGAACATCTGCTCGTTTTCTGCCCAGTCTACGAAAACTGTCGGAAAACCGTCGACTTACCTGGATCCATACGAGAAATCCTAGGCAATGATCCCAACGCTGAAGAAAAATTGTTGTTATTCCTGAGAGAAAGTCAACTAGTTGATAAAATATAACCACTTTGTGATTTATAATATTTGACCTCGAACTGAACGTAGTACCTTTTATATTTCCTATTCATTAGAGGCGAATGAATTTGTTAAAATTTAAAACCTCTTCAATAAAATAATAAATAAATAAATAAATATTTTACTTCACACGTGAAGTTTACGATTTTCAGAGTAATCGTAAACTTCACGGTTTCGGGTCTAATATTTTGCGATAAGGAACAAAACTACCAGTTTTTACGAAATTCTGAGAATCTCTATATTGTTTTGTTATAGAATGGCTGCATTCGTATATTACAATTATGGACACTCCTGAAAGGGAGTGCATGAATTTAAGGTGGTCATGATACATATGGAAATTCAACGAGTAACCAGCTCTCAATTTACCATGAAGCATTGATCTCATATTTTGTAAAGATGTTTTAACACATCTGAAGGTATTTGGAAATTGAATTTTTGTAATACAAATGAGATTTTTACTTTATAGTTTAGGCAACATCTTCTTTTTCTTCTTCTGTTAGTCTTTTACGTCCCTGCTAAAACTTAACACCGGCTCTCAACTTTGTGTTCTTTGAGCACTTTTTAATTGGGAGCATTCTAAGCCAGTACGATTTTTGCATTAGCATTAATGTGTGGCAAGTACAATCATACTCTATGCCTACGGAAATCAACCCGGAAAATACCTAGACTGCAACCGGGAATCGAACCCAGCCACCTCCAGCAGCTTCTAGAAGATGTTCATTTCGTATATAATGTAATCAACATCAATTTTATAAAACTGAAATAGTGAAACACAATTTTGTTAGCCCTCTTTTTGAAAATCTAGTGTTCTACGAAACCCACGCGCATTTTCAGTGGTCTGATTTCATCAAAGTACAACCTTCGTGAAATTGAATGAGAAAGATTTGGAATTACGGTTATGTGAAAATAACCAAATCTCTGATTGCAACACCACACGTGTTGATTGTTATGATTCGTTGCCTACATACATCGTTATTAGTTGCTGCCCATTAAACAAATAATTTATACAACATTCTTGGCTTCAGAATGTCCGCTTCCCAGATGAAAAGCATATTGAGTGAACCCACAATACCCAGGTGTGAACAAATGAATTTCCAATAGACAAGGCGAGCTCAACGATTCACCGTCTTGAAGAAAATTCCCAAAGCGTTTGCCATGATTAAACTGCACAAGGAATTTCTTCCCTTCCAGCTCTATGGCAATACTGATAGACAGTACATGCTTCTATTCTGTCTCTAGCGCAGTGCACATGTGGATCGAGCAATGTATGGCGATAGCCTCGATGTAGGTCAGTCGGAACTTGAAACCCCTTATTAGTCGGCTTCGCCGAAGCTGATAGAATTCGATATTTCATAATTATAGGCCCACGTCTTCGCGGCAGTTGTGAGAATTTTCAATTGTGCACAGCGTATAAGATGATATGGACATGTACATTGTACCCACTACTGTAAGACCAAGTTGGCTCAAGAAAGTTCCAGCAGAGAAAGCTTACCCGAACAAAATTCCAAACTGAATGCCGTACGCCCGCAGGGAGTTCCTCAGGTGCGGTTTCCGGAACATAGTCAGAATTTGCTGCAATCCAGTGTGGAAACCACTGCCACCACCTCCACCGCCACCGGTACCGGTTGTCACTTTTTCTGCACCACCCTGGTCGCCCCCGCTTTGGGTTTCATCCACCAGCTCTTTAATCTACCGAAAACAAAATTGAAAAACCGGAAATTACACACTGCAGGAAAATTCGAATGGGCCGAGGTGGTGGTGGTGATGTATGTTACCGGATACTCGTGCGGGCTGCGTCCGGTGTTGAGTGCGTACAGACGATGAAATACGGCCATCGCCTGCTGGTTGCGTCCCTTGGCCATCAAAAACTTGGGGCTCTCCGGAAGGAACATCACGAGGACGCCGCTGAGAAGACTCGGCACGCAGCATACGGCCAGGAAGATCTGCCAGGTGTGGATGGCTGAAAGGGGTTGGAAAGGTTGGTGTCAGTTCTGGCCATGTTGTTGGAACATGTATTTTTTGTTTGTTTACTTATTATCCGTTTTACGAGAGGGTTATGTGCTATGATGGTGACGTTTTCATAGCATCGTAAATTGGGGATAGCAAATAAAATTGCAAAAATTTCCACTGAATTCTGGGGTCAGTGCAGTGCCACATGATTTGACATATTTTTTTAAGGATGAATCTACACTGAGGCAAAATACATTAGAATTCCGTAGTAGTAATAAAATAACTTTTTATTTACATTTAATTGGTTTAGCCTGATGGGATCTTCATCTTTGGATTTGAATAATAATATATGAAATGTTTCGTTTAACAATTAGTTTACATTATTTCTCTTGGGGCCATTTTTATTTAGAATTTAAAAATTACAACCTACTAACAACCAATAAATTAACCTATTCGTGTTTGATCTGGTGATCATATCGCCCACAGCAATCTATAAACCTTTCCAGGAGGAACGTTCTCCGTTCCTCCAGTGTATGAATTCCAACCAAGCGGTGGACCTCAGAAATTCGAATCCGCTGGGGATCTTGTTCTGCATCCTCTGAAATTCAAGGTGGTGGCATTTGTTTGTAGCTTATTTTTCAGGGACAAGATGGATATCATATTGATAAGTGGATACGGTGATCTTATTTAGATGTAGCTCTTGGTGCTATTTTTTTCAATGTGCACCCTGGAAATCATCTTGCTGTGCAGTGTTAGTACGAGGCAGCTACCACCGTGGACGATTCCACCAAAGTGGTTTAAATAGCTATCGTATTTTGCAACGAGTTAATAATTTTGAGTCATAACGTCTTAAGCATAAGCATAATCTACTTCATCTTTTAGAAGTATTGTGATTTATCCCCTTAAAAATAAGATGCAAAATTTTTTTTTTCACAATGCAGTTTTTCGCAGACCGTCACCGGGTGTACACGCATTTCAATTAAGCTTCGCAATTAATTATTAATTAGGGATAAGAGGCGCATAGTGAACAGGAGGGACATAATGAGCAACTCGCACTCCAGAATCCAGAATCGTTCGAAACAAATTAATTGGTAGTAGGTTCAATATCACCATTGCAATTATTAATGACCAATTATTTTGTTTCGAACCATAAGAAATCCAAGGCTAAAGCACAGGAAGCTCACTATGCTTCTCCTTCCTGTATAGACCTTTTCAAAGCCACGCGCGAGACCCGATCAAGTTTTAGTCATCAAAATGCATTGCAGTGTAAAGTCGTGCAATATCACGACCGCTTCCTATGGAAGTGTGAATTGTGTAGTAAACATTATCATGCGGCTTGCGTTGGAGTTCAACGTAATCCAGAGCTCGTCATATCATCCATACATGATTCCACTTTGTGCGGACTGCATCTCCAGACAGGAATCGACACACGTAAGGTTTTTTTTCTTTATTATAGAGATTTTTAGCCATATGGCTAGTTCATCTCTTAAGATTGAAAAATGGAGAAAAAAATTGGGTTCTCAGAAGGAGATTCCCAATCTTGACTGTGGTACATTTATCTTGCTATAATGAATAGGTGTAGAAAACTGCCAAAAGGGCCAACAAAACGGAAATATAAACAAGGAACACTCAGATATTGTGGTGAAGGTTCGCCTCCTTTAGGAAGGTGATGAGGGCGGCTGCTGCCGGGGATTCGTCACCCAACAGGTTCCGAATGCTGATTGACTCCAAGCCGAAGGCAGCCCGAAGGTCTTCCAACTCCGCGCAGTTCACGAGGATGTGCTCCACGGTGGCTGGCACTACGCAGGTTTCGCAGGTCCTCCGGAACGGTGTTCTTACGAAGTTGTGGGAGACTCTGCTGTGCCCGGTTCACACCACTCGCTGTTCTCGTAGGTTTGGTCGATCCTTCCAGGTTCTGATGGTCACCTTGATCTTCCGAAGATGGTGTGTCCTGTTGTTCCTCCACTCAGTGTCCCAGGCTTCAAATCGTCCGCTTGATCAACTTTTTGACATCTTGGAGCGGTACATTGCCGGTGGACCTGGGTCCGGTGTGGCCTGAGCCGGCGGGCTGGTCGGCTATTAGGTTCCCTTGGATCCCGCAGTGACCGGGTACTCACATGAATACTGTGTTGGGCGGCGCGTGCTTCCCAGGTAACAATTTGATGCTTAACAAGTGTTGTTTAATCGATTTTAATTCAGCCTTAGATTGAATAATTGCTGTACATAGACCACGTTAACCTTTGTTCAGCTTTTAAACATCTAAATCTGATGATTTTAATTAGCCAAAAGCTGAACAGTAATGTACATTATAAGCTTTTTAAGGCATTACATAACAGTCTTTTCCAACCCTTGTTCAGCCTTCTAGTTTTATTTCAAAAATAATAATGGAAGACCGCTTCATATCTTATGCATTTATATAGAACTGCTTTAAATTGTTGCTGACTAATTGAATTTACATATTTATGTTGTTAATAAAAGTTTATAAATTACCTTTGGATTTTGGGATTCGAACCGGCAGTCGCTGAATCACAGGCGTCAACCATACCTACTGGACCATTTAAGCATATGTGTGGCAAAATGTATGACCATTAACTTGAAGCACGTCAAATTTAAGTTGAATAACAGCAACCGGAAGAGTATTATACAGTAATGCAGAATTGTTAACAACAACTAATATTTTTGAAATGCGGTCTGAAACTTCAGGGCAATATAACAGACAAAACACAGGAATACAAATGTATACTTCCGACGTTGTCGCAGCCCACATCTACCAGCTATTCCTAAAAATCTCCTTTTCCTTGTCTCTACTGCTGCCACTGCTTGTAATTAGAAAGGTAGGCAGTGAAGTTTGAAGAACTAAAATGTCGGACATGCAACGAGGGACACAGACACTGACGACATTTAACAAATCAAGCTATCAAACTATGTGTAACGCATTGCTGATTTGTGGAGTTGTGTTAAGCTTAAATAAGGCTTGTTCAATCTTTAGATCAGCTAACTTATTGAGGTTGGATTATGGGGGTACAATTCGCTTCATGCACTACTAGTCAACTATATATTCAGCCTGATGTTAATCAGCTTTGTACACCTTAAATCAACCAATAATCAGCTTCTGTTCTTAATGTTCAGCTTGAATTGTTACTTGGGTTTACCGTTCCTTGGATCCACGGTGCTTCGGTGTTTCTGTTGTTAGGGCCAATATCACGCTGTGTGAGTCAGTTACGACTAATATCGGTCGGTTGGCCGGTAGCTTAACCACGTGGAGAATGGCCGCTGCCTCAGCTGAGAACACCGAGCATTGGGTCGGGAGCGATCTGCTCACAAGCAGACCATCTCCGGAGACCCCATTCCCACTCCGCTCCTGGAGAGAGAGCCGTCGGTGTACCCAATTTAATAACCTTGGTAGTGCGCCCCGAGAGTTTCGAAAACTGTCCGGCGTAAAGCCAGCGAGTTGTCTCCTGTCCTGAAGCGGTCCTTGATTCGGCTGTCAATTTTAATCTAGTGCGATTGCCAACTTTTGTCTCCGTGCCAGTGGATCCTGGCCACCGGAGGGAGATCTACGTCGGCGGCCGTTCGGAGGAGTCGGTTCGCCTCGTCGAGGAGAACGATCCTGTTGTTTCCCGACGTTTTAGCGAGAAAGGCAGAGGTTTTGGTAGCAGTAGCTGCGGTGAAAACGAGCCGAAAAGGTAGGATACCGGCTTCAACGCATGCAGCGTCGGCCGGGGTAGAGGGCAGGAGACCGGTTCCAGAATCTGGACGGCTTTCTCGGCGGCAAGGCATGTAAACTCTACACCTTACAGTAGGCGACTGTCGATGATGGCTCTAGCTACGTGGAAGCGGATTTCGCGATTGTTGGACTGGTGGGGGCGGGAGATGGTCTTAATCAGGTTGGACCGACTGCGACAGTCCTTCTTTACTTGTTGGAAGTGCGGCTCAAAGGATAAATTCCGATCGAGGAGCACTCCCTAGACCCTCACGGTGTTTTTGGTCGGTATTGCTTGTTTTTTAATCATGTTGGGCTGTCCGTTGTTGCGATGCCTGGTGGTACATATATGGCAGCGCACGCTCTTGCCGGCGGAAAGCTGGAAACCAACAGAGTCAGCCCATCTGACCACCGAGGAGACTGCCGCTTGAACTCTCAGTTTCGTCCTCTGCAGGGTGGGACCCACCGTTACAATGAGGACGTCATCCGCGTAGACGAAGATGTAAACGTTCTTGGGTAGTTGGTCAAAGACCCTATTCATGGCCACCAGGAATAGGGTGACCACGATCACCGAACCCTGTGGCACTCCGGTTTCCTCACTGAAACTTCCGGATTGCACGTTTCGAACCGAAACCCGAAAAGATCGGTCGGTCAGAAAGTTCCGGCCGAAGTGAAGGATGTGTCCTTTCAGGCCCCAATCAGCAAGCTTCTTCAATACAGCGAGGCTTTCTCTCCAGTTTCTTCAGCGGTCCAGAGTTGGTTGTAGAGGTCGAGAAGTTTCGTTTTGCCTTCGGGTGGAAGGTGCTAAGAAGCAGCGGGTAACCGATTTCGTCCGGTCCAGCCGAGCTCCCGTTGCTCCGACTGAGAGCGAACACGAGTTCTTCCCAGGATAGTGGGCTGTTGATCGGTAGGTCGTCGTTATCTGGAGGAATTCCGAAAGGAGAGAGGGGCGGACTCGCTGTCGGAAGCTTTCGCTGTACTCCGAGATGCCGGATAGTTTGGCGAAGTATTTGCCCAGTTCGTCTGCTACGATGGTTGGATCAGTGACACACGTAAGGTTTTTTGTCAACAAGATCGATCAGCTGGATTCAATTAAGTCCCAAACGGATGCCAATCTTGGTATTTGTATTTGTATTTATTGTATAAATCCATCTGACATCGTGGTCTTAATGAATAGAACTTAACGAAAAAAAAAACTTTAACATGTTGTACAGAAAAAAACAAAATCATTCTGGTCGATTCCGTAGGTGGTTTCGAAAGACGTTGGTAGAGATATTGAAGTCAAACAAGCTGTAATTGTCTTGGAG